TTCTGAGTTAAGCTCCGCCCTAACACTGGTAACCTACGCCCATCCGTCTAGCCAATCACCTCTCAAAGCCCTCACACAAAGGCTGCTCCGGACGCTGTGGCCCGCGGTTGCTCGCTAGTCTTACAGTTAATTTTCTCCTGCCTATTACCCACTTCCTTCTGTGCAGAATCAACTCATCCTACTACTCTGGGCTCCCAGTACTTCTCTTCTCTTAAGTAACCATGCCCGAAGATCGCAGTCGCTAGGGTTTAACTTACTTAATCCCATGCGATAAGACAATAGACAACCATGTTTATCACAGGATGATTCGGAGAAGCTTTCAAGAAACTTAAGTATATAATGCATACGTGGTACCAGAACAACCTTCGGCAGTTCAGCGAAGCTATCACGAGTATAGCGACCCCCATAAGAAAGTAGGCCAAAAACGGAAAAACAGCACGCCAACAAATTAAAATTTTCCACCAAAACAGCTTAATTCAACTCGCAACTATTTTCTACCTGAAAGACCGGCCATCGGAAACTGGTATTAGTTCAAGTTTTCCAGTTCCAAATGTTAAAAGGTCTTTGCGAGATGTTTCTTCCGATTCGGCAGGTCAATCTCACTGCAGCGTGGAGATTGTACAAAAACCCATACGTAGTGGATTAAGTGCAAATAAACACGGTTTCAAAATACTCAAAGCACTGGCACCAACCAAATAAACGGATACGTTCCGCCGACATTCCACAAACACTTTTGATGAAACCGGGCCCTACTACGGCAAGTAAATCAACTGGAGTCGAAGGGAGGGGGGCGGCTATGTCACGTCGGTCAATAGGTTACGGAACATCCGCGGTCGGCTCAAATTCGTGCAAGGTGCAGCGAAAGATTAAATTAATCGTATACACGGCTACAGGAAGTCAAGTCCAACGGAAGAATACTCGCGATCACGGCCACTTAAAAGTACACTAGTCACCGGTTATTAAGCCACGGTTAATAGGCCCAGCCACTTATTAAGGCCCAATTTGGTCTGGGCCCGAGGTGGGCTTAATAACCGGCGACTACTGTATTGGAAATACCTCGATTCCAACGATGAGGCGTCGCACAGAAAGGCGCCTGCGTGAGCTATCACACCGTTTACCATTAGAGCATGCACCTTGGTCGTGGCCATCGATCTATCATCAGATCTGATTCGCCAATGTTTCTCATACTTTCTCATTAAGCGGATCAATAAATATACGCAGCCCTTCTGAGAGAATCACTTGCTAATCGTTAATACAGTTCTCTCTGCGTGGTCGATTGCCTTGTCTTTCACTTCCGCTCTGATATTGGGAAAAATATCTGGGCAAGCCCATAGTTCGTGTTAATTACAAGTACTAGGCGCGGGTCATAAGAAAAAGTATGTATATAAAAGAAAGCAGGTTTGCCGATTTTTTTAGTAAAGAAATAAAAACTTTATTTTTCTTCCTCCTCCTCTTCTTCGTCGGGCAGGAACGCGCGGATGGCATCTATCAGTTCCTGTTTCACAGTGTCGGGAACCATTTTTCGTCCAACTGGCGTGATCTCAGTTACCAGATCATCAACGGTCACATTCTCCAAGCCCTTCTTCTGTATGACTTCTAAAGCCGCGGGGAAACGGAAAAAAATGACGGATTATCGGGCAGTCGAAAGAAGTAACAATAATCAATTAAAGTTAATATCCAAAAAACAAAAAGCATCGACATAGAGTGACCTAAAATGAGAGCGGCAAAGAAAGATCACCACTTGTTT